GAATGGGGTCTCCCACCCACCGACTGCAAAGGGCACGTCCCTCCGAGACCACATCCTAATTCTGTCGGAAGAACACCCTGCGGGCCACACTGCGGGAAGGACCAAGGGTAAGAAAACGGAAGCCAGAGGGCTGGACAGCGGCGCAGCAGTGATGCGACCCTGTGCAAGGCGGACGCCCATGGGACGGCTCTGGGTTCGTATCTGGAGCCCTCCCTGAATACGCCGAGACCACTTATGCCCTCCACCCGGGGCTGGATAGGGGCTGGGGGTGGGCTGCACCATCGAGACCCTGCTGGGGATTTTCCCTTTTTTCTCTTTCTCTTCTCTCTCTCTGTTGCTCCCTCGCTCTCAAGAAAGAAAAGAGGGGCAAAAAATACACGAATGTAACATTCTTTGTTGGAAACAATGTGTATGGTGAGACCCGGACCTGACCGGCACTTACTGCCTGAGTACTTAGCAACCCACACTGTGCACTAAATAAATAAATAGGGGCCCGCAGGTGGTGTAGTGATTAAGGGATTGGAGTCCCCTGTGGCTGATCACAGTTCGAGTCCCGGATCCAGTAGCCTGAAACTCACGCCGGGCGCGTGTGCATGCGTGCCCAAGATCCCAAGAGGAGAATGGAGGAGAAGGGATTGCGGCATGACCATCCCCCTGGGGAGTGACTTCTCACTTTCCCTCTCACTGTCTCTCTCTGCCTCTGTCTGTCTCTTTCTTTCTCTGGCGAGTGCACACACTGTATGATAAAACCTAAAAAAAAAAAGTCAAAGAACACTTAACAGACACAAGAATGTAACGGTCTCTACTGGCAATGACGTGCCTAGTAGTATCTTTGATTTGACTGTCACGAGCTGCGTGCATACTTTGAAAACCAGACTGCGTGCTGAGAGGAAAAAGGAAAGAAAATGGAGGTGAGGGTCTCAATCAATCACTCTCTCTCTCTCGCAGAAGAAAAAAAAAAGAAAGAAACTTAAAAAAAGGTTTATCAGGTGGAGGTTAAGGTGCTGCATCCTACAGGGCCAACTCCATGGTCCGAGTCCCGGACCTGGTGGCTTAAACTCATGCCAGGTGCGTGTGCGTGCGTGCCCAAAGCCCCGAGAGGAGAACGGAGGAGAAGGGATTGCGGCGTGGTCATCCCCCTTGGGGGGTGATTTCTCACTTTCTGTCTCTCTGTCTCTCTGTCTCTCTCTCTGGCAAGTGCACATACCCAATAGCAAAACCTACATAAAAAAGCGGGGCCGAGGGAAAGAACCCTTGACAAGAACGTCAAGATCTCTACTGGAAACGTGTTTTCTGACATCCTTGGTGTGACTATCACGCCCTGCACCTATACTTCGAAAAGTCATAGTGTGTTCCAGGCAAATAAATTAAGAGGGAAAAAGAAAAGAAAAAAGTGGAGTGGAGAAGCCTAGCAGTTAGACTCCAGCATGGTCAAGGCTAGAAATACTGGGACCAGCAGTTCGCGTAATGGCTATGTCACTGGACTGCCATGTAGCCAACTGTGGTTTGAGTCCTGGATCCAGTGGCTTAAGCTCACGCCGGGCGCGTGTGCGTGTGTGCCCAAGATCCCGAGAGGAGAGTGGAGGAGAAGGGATTGCGGCGTGGCCATCCCCCCTGGGGGATGATTTCTCACTTTCTGTCTCTCTGTCTCTGTCTGTGTGGCGAGCGCACACGCCCTATAGCAAAAACCTCTCAAGAAAAGAAAAAAAACAGTGGCAGTCACTCCAGGGTAGAGGACAGGCTGGATCCCAGACATGTCTGTGACCGTGAGCGAGGAGACACAGGGTCCCTGAGCCAGGGCTGGGGGCCTCCTCGCAGCCCGGTACTCGCTGGCCCCACCCACTGCCTGGTCAGTCCTCCAAGCCTGCCGTTCCTTCTCTGTGTAATGGGAAGGACAGGGCCCACCAGGAACAAGGTGATGGTGACCTGAGCCTGCCACCTGCTGTCTGGGCTGACTGTGCGTCACAAGCATCTGCTCCCTCCCTTTCTCTAAAACACGGGCCGTGGGGCCACTTGTCAATGCCCTTTTTGTTTACTTTAAGAGATTTTTGCTTTAGGGCGCATGCACTCACTAGAGAGAGAGATAGTGAGGAGGAAAATGAGAATCACCTCCCAGGGGGATGGCCACACCGTAATCCCTTCTCCTCCATTCTCCTCTCGGGATCTTGGGCACACACGCACACACGCCCGGTGTGAGTTTAAGCCACCGGGTCCGGGACTCGAACCACTGTCGGCCACGTAGCGGTGTAACCACTACGCCATCTGCTGACCCCTTTGGTCAATCCCTTTCTACTGCATCATGCCTGCGAGATGCCGTGGAAACCGTGAGCAGAGGCTGGACTCTGAATCCCCTGGCTCCGCTGTGCTGTTAGGACACCGCAGTCCACCTTGGGGATAGGGGCCTCTTTCAGGTCAGTCTCAGGGGTCAGGGTGACCCCGGCCGCTGCCCAGAACCCAAGTGGGAGGGAGCAGGCGCCTGGCAGCACCAGCCATGCCAGGTCCCACGCCTAGACAGGAATGTGCTGGAAGGAAGGTGGAGACGAATTGCAGGAGGTTTCCTCCCATATCTGAAGGGCTTACGGAGAGGAGCCTCTTCAATCCTGCGGCCTCACAACAGAGCATGCTCGGGCTGCCTGGCGTCCTGCTCCTGGGGGGTCCGGCTAATGACAGGGCTCCCTGTCCCTGCCTCAATCCCTTCCCTTCTTCCTGGCTTAAAGCTTATCTCCCTTTACTAACAGAAATCCCTTTACGAAAACAGCTGCAGGCAGGGGAGAATTCTTTGGATTTTCTGAAGGAAGATTGAGGAAGGGCAACGTGGTGGTGGAGAACAGTCTTGCATAAAACGAGGTATAAAGTCTGAAAAGGACAAGTTTGCAATTTACTGGACAGCCACCCGTGACTAGGACAGGAGGGAGGGGTGCCCTGCTGGGTGCAACGGGCTCTCCTTCGCTTTTCTTTCTCTCTCTCTTTCTCTCTTTCTCTCTCTCTCTCTCTCTCTCTCTTTCTTTCTTTCTTTCTTTCTTAATTTGACCAAAAAAAGAAAGAGACACACAGAGAGGGAAAGTGAGAAAGCAAGCCACCAGGTCTGGGATTCAAACCGCAGTCATCCATGTGGGAGTCTAGTGCCTTTAACCACCACGCCACCTGCTGGCCCGCTCATTCGCTTTTGAGCCTTGATCAGCCCAGCCCTGAAACCCCAAACACAGAGGACTGAGAGCGAAGTATCTTGATGTCCTGGCCACAAAGCAGGCTCGCCCTATCAGGTAGGCCCCCTGGCGAAACCTCAAAACCCAGTGATAACGCACCTGCTGTACCCTGCCCTGGGCAGCGGGGTTTAGAGTCTCAGGCATCTTAGAGCGAGGACCAATGGGTCCCTGTCCTCTGTCCCTACAGGGGGAAGCCAGGGCGGGCAGCTGCTTCTTTATGCCGGCCCCATTCCCCCTGTCTTCCTGCCTGTTACCACGGAGCTGCTTCTGTCCACATGACAAACGATAAAAGCAATGATCAAAGTAAAAGCTTTGCCTTCTCAGCACTGTAGTGGTCAGAATGGATAAATAAATAAATAAATAAATAAATAAATGATTCAAACTCAGAAATGGAGATTAAAATGATGACTGTTAGGGGCTGAGGAGGGGGCGCTGGACTCCCACATGGCTGCCCATGGTTCGAGTCCCGGACCTGGTGGCTTACTTTCTTGCTTTCCCTCCCTCTCTCTCTCTCTTCCTCTCTCTCTCTCTCTCTCTCTCTCTCTCTGTCCCTCTCTGGTCAAATTAAAAACAAATAAATAAATAAAGTGAAATGAAATGATTCTTTCAAAATAAATGAGATGAAATTATCTGCAGATGAAAGAGTCTGACAAATGGGACCAGCGGTTAGCGTAATGGCTATGTTGCTGGACTCCCATGTAGTCAACTGCAGTTTGAGTCCTGGACCTGGAGGCTTAAACTCATGCTGGGAATGGTGAGTTTAAGCTATGCTGCAATCCCTTCTCCTCCATTCTCCTCTCGGGATCTTGGGCACGCACGCACACGAACCTGGTGTGAGTTTAAGCCACTAGATCCAGGACGCAAACCGCAGTCGACTTACATGAGAGTCCAGCAACATAGCTATTACGCCAACTGCTGGTCCCAATAAATAAGATTTTAAATGAAAAAAAAAAAAAAGATATCTTGTCCCAGGGTACATGCACTCAGTGGAGAGAAAAAACAAATAAGAAATAATCCCCTGGCAAATGGCCTAATGGCAATCCCTTCTCCATTTTCCTCTTGGGAATTTTATTTATTTATTTATTTATTTATTGGAGAGGTTTTCGCTATAAGGCACATGCGCTCGCCAGACAGACAGAGAGAGACAGAGAGACAGAAAGCGAGAAATCACCCCCCAGGGGGGATGGTTACGCCGCAATCCCTTCTCCTCCATTCTCCTCTCGGGATCTTGGGCACGCACGCACACGCGCCCGGCGTGAGTTTTAAGCCACCGGGTCCGAGACGTGAATCGAGGTCGACTGCGTGGGAGTCCAGCGACATAGCCATTACGCTAACTGCTGGTTCCCCCTCTTGGGAATTTTTGAGGTACACACACACACACAAGCATCAGGTGTGATTTTCCGGTTACCACCCGGGTCCAGGACTTGAACCTGCAGCACTCGCCATGTGAGATGCAGGGCTTTAACCACCATACCCCTGCTGGCCTCTACTCCATTTTCCCCATGCTGTCATTGTCCCCTGAGACCAGGGGCTGGGACTCACTCTGAATGCTCCTTAAAGGGGCCTTGGGGACTAGCAAGGGTCTTGGGAAGGTTCAGAGACAGGACAGTCCGACCCCTGGGCAGACATGGTCCTTAAACACCGTGCCAGCTCGCGCCCACGGGGACGCCCCCCAGTCCCGCATGGAGACGCCCAGCCCAGCCTCCTGCGCACCCCACGATGCTGCACTTGGTTCCATAGCGGCCCTCGGACAGCGAACACGGCCACCCCCGCCAGGCCCCATCATGGACTCACCATGTTCATGACGGTGAGGATGAACCTCTGGGCGGCCTCTGCCCCGTGGTACTGCACCATGTCCGCGTCGGCCACCACCAGCGTCTCCACCGTGTGCTCGCTGGTAAGCCGGATGGCGTTCCGCCGCTCACGCCAGTCCCGCGCCGGGCTGCCCTTCCGCGGCTGCTTCTTGTCTGGAAAACGATGCGGACACATGCGCAGGCCCTGGCTGATTGGTTTCCAGAACATCAGCCAAGAGGCATGCCGCGGAGCCTCCCCACCGCCATGGTGGGTCCCAAGTGGCCAGAGACGGACCTGGTGCCATGGAGCTCCACCATTCAGGGGGTGGGCCTGTGCTCGGGCCTCCGAGGGTAGTGAGGCAGAGGGAGACAGCTGGGAGGCTCACCCTGCCCACCTCACGGCCCAAGAGGCACCAGAAAGGAGACCTGTGCTGGGCAGACAGGTGGCATGGTGGATAAAGCACTGGACTCCCACATGGCAGACTGCAGTTCTAGTCCCAGACCTGACGGCTTGCTTTCTCACTTTGTCTCTGTCTCTCTTTCTGGTCAAAATTAAAATAAAAAAAAGGATGAATAAAATGAAATAAAATGGGGGCCAGCAGGTGGAGTGGTAGTTAAGCAAGCTGGACTCTCATGTGGTTGATTAAGGTTTGAGTCCTGGACCTGGGGGATTGCTTTCTCACTTTTCCTCTTTCTCTCACTCTGTCTCTCTTTCCCTCTCTGGTCAAATTTAAAGAAAGGAAGGAAAGAAAGAAAGTCAAATAAAATAGTTCTTTAAATAAAATGATTCTTTAAAAGAAAAGAAAAAGAAAGAGAAAGAGACCTGTGTCTGCAGGAAAACATGGACTAAAAATGGAAGCCTGGTCCCAGTGAGGATGGACAAGACACATTCCAGAAAGGCCAAGATTCTGAAAGGCTATGACCACTGCTGACCGCTGGGACCAAGGAGGCAGGGGCTGGGGACCGGGACGTTCCTGGAAGCTGACACCCGAGTGACTGTACCAAGACCCACCACAGGGAGCGTAAGTGCTGGCAGGCACAAAAGCATGACTTCAATCCTAACAGTTGGGGCCAGTGGTGGTGTAGTGGTTAGTGCACTGGATTCCCACATGGCTGACTCTGCAGTTTCAATCCTGGACCTGGAGGCTAAAAAAAAAAAAAATCACACTGGCGTGGGACCAGCAGTTAGCTACGTCGCTGGACTCCCATGTAGTCGACCCGTGGTTCAAGTCCCGGACCCGGTGGCTTAAACTCACACCAGATGCGTGTGCGTGTGTGCCCAAGATCCCGAGGAGAATGGAGGAGAAGGGATTGCGGCGTGGCCATCCCCCCCGGGAGGAAGGGGTGATTTCTTGCTTTCTGTCTCTCTGGCGACCACACGCGCCCTATAGCAACAAAAACTCTCCAAAAAAAAAAAAATCACACTGACACGTGTGTATATGTGTGTCACCAAATCCCAGGAGGATGGAGAAGGGATTGTGGTGTGGCCATCCTCCTCGGGGGATGAGGGCAGGTGACATCTCGCTTTCTCTGTCACTGTCTCTCTCAGGTGAGCATGCACACACTATGACCAAAAATAAACAAACAAACAAATAAATATCAGAAAAAACACACAGCATGCATCTCCACTAAGGTGTGAGCTGGCCCTTCCTCCAGCAGAGAAGGGTGACTAGTCAATTTCCCTGTATGACCTTACTCTGACAAATGGCTATCATCCTTAATTAAAGGTTCCAGGCCTGGGACCAGCAGATGGCGTCATGGCTATGTCGCTGGACTCCCATGGAATCGACCTTAGTTCGAGTCCCAGACTTGGTGGCCTAAAACTCACACTGGACGCTGGTGCGTGCATGCCCAAGAGGAAAAGAGTGTGGTGGTTAAGGCACTGGATCCCACCTGGCTAACTGCAGTTCGAGTCCTAGACTTGGCAGCTTGCTTTCTCACTTTCTCGCTCTCTTTCTGTTTCTCTTTCTTTCTCTCTCTTCCCCTCCCCCTCTCTCTCTGGCGAGGATATGTGCCCTATAGAAAATATTAAAAAATAACAACGACAACAATTAAATATATAATTTAAAAAAAAAAAGATTTTCAGGCACAGGATCCCACATAGCAGACTCCATGGATCAAGTCCCAACCTGGAGTTCGAGTTTCAACTTGGGGGCTTGGAAAATATGCCAGGCACGTGTGCCCCAAATCCCAAGAATGGAGAAGAGGGTTTAGCCTGACCATCCCCCCGGGGAGGTGATTTCTCACCTTCCCTTCTCTCTTTCTTCAGCAAGCGCACGTGCCCTATGGCCAAAACTCACAAACACACACAGAAAAGTAAATACAGACATTCACCCAACGGCCTGGGTGTCCTGATTCACATCAGTATGGGTCAGGTCTTGCCACAAAACGAATGTCAAAAACCCTGGATCTTAGAGTCACAGATAAGGGATCGCGAACTGCATTCCCTCCCAATCCAGGTGTCCTTCCTGGAGGGGGTGGCAGGTGGGTGCTATCTCTTGACAACCTTAATCCTAATCTCCTCCCAGAGGTCCCATCTTTCAACCCCATAACTGGGTCAAGTTCTTGCCCTTTATAAAAGCATTATTTCATTTTATTTACTTTTATTGTTGCTTTAAATTTGCATGTGCACTCACCCAAGAGAGACAGAGAGAGAGAGAAAGAGAGAAGGGGGGGGTGAGAAAATAAGCCACTAGATCCAGGACACGAACCACCGTTAGCCATGTGGGAGCCCAGCACCCTAACCACCCTGTTGCCTGCTGGCCCCAAGTTTTTGCCCTCTTAATTCCATTACAATGGTTTAACATATGCATTTTAGGGGGGAAAAGTATTGCACCTCGGTTATTCTGTTCTCTAGATCTCTAAGTTTCGATTCATTTTTATCGTGGCAGATGCAGAAAAAGAGAGGAAAAAAAAAAAACCAAACAACAAAAACAGTGTCTCTGTCCACACGTCCTCCAAAGCAGCCCAGGCTGGGAGCACACAGACCCTGTGTGGGAACTGGGGTGCTGGGAGGGCAGAGAAACCTCACCTTTCTCCTCTACGTCAACAAGCGCTCCGCCAACAGAACTCTACACACCTTTTTATTGATTGATTTTCAGATTTTTTTGCCACAGGGCATGTGCACTCCCAAAGACAGAAAGGCAGAGAGGGAAAGTGAGAAATCGCCCCCTGGGGTGGGGGGGTGGCCACGCTGCAACCTCTTCTCTACCATTCTCCTCTCAGGACCTTAGGTACATGTGCACATACACACCGGTCCGGCGTGATTTTCAGGCCGCTGGGTCCAGGACTCAAACTGCAGAGTCTGCCATGTGGGAATCAGTGTCTTCATCACCATGCCAACTGCTGGCCTATACGGCCTCCCACTTTTTTTTTTTTTTTTTGAGAGGTTTTTGCTATAGGGCGCATGCGCTCGCCAGACAGACAGAGACAGAAAGCGAGAAATCACCCCCCAGGGGGGATGGCCACGCCGTAATCCCTTCTCCTCCATTCTCCTCTCGGGATCTTGGGCACGCACGCACACGCGCCCGGCGTGAGTTTAAGCCACCGGGTCCGGGACGCGAACCACAGTTGGCTACATGGGAGTCCAGCGACATAGCCATTATGCTAACTGCTGGTCCCAGGAAAACCACCCTTTTTGCCTGGAAATGATTGCTCCTCGTGTGCAGGGGAACTCCCTGCCAGGTGGTTTTCGGCAGCTGCAGAAATCTAACATCCTTGAAAAATGATGGTCTTCTCTCCTGTTTTTTTTTTCTTCTTTTTTCTCTCTCTCGAAAAGGGAAAAAATACGTTTTGCTCTCCAAGTCTAAATTCTTCAAATAACTACCTCAAGGCCAAGTCATTTTTATAAAACGACAGCTCTTTCATGCGAATTCTTCATACGAAGAAACGTGGAGAATAAGGGCTTTGTCCTTTCGCTTCGTTTGCTTGTTTACTGTTGTTATTCTTGTTGTGGTTCAGATCTGGAATGGAGAACTAATGATCCTCGGGGTCTCGAGTCAGCCCACGTTAAACAGGCGTGTGACTGTGTGACACCCCAGAACACAGCAGGGCCCGGTGAGGACAGGCGGGTGGACCCGCTGGGCCTATCTCTACAGGAGACAGCCATGCAGACACCAGGCAGCTGGCATCATTACCCACAGCCAAGAAATCAAGACACAGGGCCAGCAGGTTGTACAGACTAACCAGACTCCCACACGGTCGACTGTAGTTCGAGTCCCCGATCCAGCGGCTTAAAAATCACATCAAGTGGACAGATGTACGTGTGTGCCCAAAATCCCAGAAGGAGAATGAAGGAGAAGGGACTGCAGTGTGGCCATCCTCCCCTGAGGGATGATTTCTCTCTTTCTCTCTCTTTCTCTCTCTCTCTCTCTGGCAAGCATACATGCCATATAGCAAAAATCTCCCAAAAAATAGTTGAGGGACCAGCAGATGGCGTAATGGCTACGCCACTGGACTCCCATGTAGTGGACCATGGTTTGAGTCCCAGACCCGGTGGCTTAAACTCACACCGGGCGCATGTGCGTGCGTGCCCAAGATCCCGAGAGGAGAATGGAGGAGAAGGGATTGCGGCGTGGCCATTCCCCCGGGGGGTGATTTCTCACTTTCTCTCTCTCTGTCTTTCTGGCTAGCACATGCATCCTATAGCAAAAAAAAAAAAAAAAAAAAAAAAAAAGCCGAGACACTGATTCGGTCAACAAACACTTAGTGAGAGTCCACGTGTACTTGCACTGCTACGACATAGGTGACCATCTGGAAATAAACAGACCTTCACCGACTGAACAGACTAAAGCAAACTGTAAACATGACCAGCGCTAGGAAGAAAGAACAGGTAGTGTTTGGAGAGAACGTGAGGAGTGGCGTGCCAACGTATGCTGGGGGGCCAGGAGAGGCTCCCCGAAGAAGTGACGCACAGGCTGAGGTCAGACGGCTACGTGAGAGTTAACCAGGGAGCAGGAGAGAGGAGTTGGGAGCAGTCCAGGCGGTGGGAATGGTACGTGCATGGCTCCAGGGACAGCAAGCAGCATGGAACATTCTAGAAACTGCAGTGAGCCAAGCAAGAGAGGCCTGAACACAGGCGGGGAGAAGCACGTAGGACAGTACTGGGAAGGTGAAGGGTTTTCTCTACTCCGGGAGATGCCGTGGAGGGCCTGTGTCCCAAATGTGTCACCGTG